ATGATGTCGTACTTGATCTTTCGTGCTTGTACCATAAGGTCTTCAATGGATGCAGCAGATGCCAGCGTACGAGCATTAAAAGTACAGACAATCATTTTTGTTTTTCTGCGTTTTGGCAGCCCATGTCTGCCTTGGTGTTTTATCAGCTTCTCCTTCCATATCCTTCTCGACTCTGCATAATCAGGGCTAGGGGAATGAGATCCATTTATTACTGGATTTGGCATATCAATTTGGTCTATTTGGCATAGATCACGGATAGCTTGCCAGGCTCTGCCGTGTGGGTTGGATATTTAAGGATATTTAAGGTATCCTGAAAATTATGAAATAAACATGATCTAAGAAAAATAAATACATCATAATAATCCTCTATGATAAGTCACTTTAACGCACAAGTCCATTATTTGGGAGCACTAAGTTAAACAACCTAATTACATTAATTTAACAAAGAATTACTGGCCTCTGAGCACTACTAAAATAGACATAGACTTGAATGAGTCAACCATAATTCCATGTGCATGAAGCTTAGATGCTAATTTCTGAGAATAGCTGGGCAAAAGAGGTAAAGATACAAGTAGACAAAATGATATCAAAAGAAATCCAACAAGAAACTGTTAATCTAGAGAACAATAGAAGACAACCCACCTTCTGATTTGATTAGGAAATCTATAAGGTTACCTTCAGACAAATACCTAAAAAAAGAAATATGGAAAGTAGAATGTTACCAATCTCGATTAAGAAAATATAAGTGCACAAGGTTTAACTGCTAACAACATATTAGTAATCTTTTCTCCAAGGGCTTAATGAATCCATGGTGAAATACAACAATATTCACACACCTTCTTCTAAGGAAATGTTTTTGGATCATTTTTAGCAAATTATAACAAGACATATGAAATAATTTATTCAGGTCTGTATAGGGGCATGCTTGTGGGTGGTTGGGAAAATTGGAAATAATAGTGCTGGGAAGGTGCACTGGTGGTGGGATTGGTATTGGAATATTGAATGCAATAAATCATGAACAACTTTATAAAAATTAGTAAATAAAAAAATAAAGGGAAGAAGAAATATCAAGGGTAGGAGGGAGTTAAGAGGTACACAAATGAATAATGACCAGATCATTTGGGGCCTTTCAAGCCACGACAGGAGCCGGAGAGGTAGTACAGCAGGTAGGATGCTTGCCTTGCACTTAGCTTACCTGGCTTTGATCCTTTGATCCCTGTCATCCCTTATGGTCCCCAGAGCCTATCTTGAATAATTACTGAGTGTAAAGTCATGAGTAACCCTGAACACCTCTGGGTGTGTCCTCCCCCCCCCCAAAAAAAAATCAAACCATGAAAAAGAGGTTAAATTATGTTCTGTATTCAAGGGTAATCAGCCGAAAGGTTTCCAGCCAGAGATAATGTGATAACCTCTGTTAAGACAATCAGGCTTTGCTGCTGTATGGAGAATAGATTAAATAGAGGTAGAGTGCAAGGACAAGAGCAAAATGAAGGGGGGAAAGGAAAGTGCATGAGATGAATTTAATTGACTTTAAACTTTTCCCTACTTCCACACTCAGTCTCATTAAAAATGGGTGCTTCCTGGTAAAAGAGGTAACTCTGTGGGTAAAAGGAAATGCCAATTTGGATCAGAGACCAAGTTCTTTCCTATAACTCCTCAAAACATGCATATCTGATCAAGTAAGATTTAATTAAAGCCTAAGCATAACTGGATATGAACCATGTGTCACACTAGGAACTTTCACATATATCCTATTCTACTGCTGTGATTGAAATGAAGTCGTATTTCAGTTACCGCAAAAATCAAATCATAGCTTCCATTCTGACTGAGTCATCTGTTCTTTACTCTATAGGTTCTCCTTTTGTTGAAAAGTAGGCCCTTTGAGGTGCTTGTTTGTTCAGATACATCAGTCCAGTTCCTTTCTGATGTGCAGAACAGAAACTGAGAAGTCTGATCTGACCACCTAAGTTTCCAACCTCAGCTTTGGTGGAACTGGTACAGAAAACAGAAGTCCAGCTCTCTCAGCTGTCAGAGGACAGCTTTCAGGTCACTGGGGACAGTGATACATATACTGGACTCTGGTTAGCAACAGTTACGCTATACAATAGGAAATTAGTTTCTCAGTTATAGCTGTCACTGTCACTGTCACTGTCCTCCCGTTGTTCATCGAAGTGCTCAAGCGGGCCCAGTAATGTCTCCATTGTGACAGTTGTATTTCGCATATTGCATATTGTATTTCGCATATTGAATATGTCACGGGGAACTTGCCAGGCTTTGTCGCGTGGGTGAGATACTCTCAGTAGCTTGCCGGGCTCTCCGAGAGGGGCGGAAGAATCGAACTCGGGTTGGCCAGGTTGGCCGCTTGTAAGGCAAACGCCCTACCCGCAGTGCTATCGCTCCAGCCAGTTATAGCTATTTTTATTTAAATTTTATTTAATTTTTATTTAAATTTTATTTCCAGTAAATTAACTATTTCTCTTAAAGAGAAATAGAAATCCTAGGTCAGGACTTGGTACAGCACCATGATTCTGTTCCTAACTGACGCTAAAAAAAGATCCATCCTGGAATTGGTTCTGGTTTACAGGCTCGGGGCTTTTACTCCACCACTATCAATGCAATCACATCTCTCATGGCAGATGTCTTCTTGAGGACCATAATTCTACTTTTCTGACCTCTCAGCTTATGGAGAACCAACCCAGCTCATCAGAAGTATTAAAATAACCTTAAAAACCCAAGGACAAAGAGTCAGGATTTCTGATCTACCAAGGAAGTCCTCAGATCTTTTGCACACTGGCCTGCCTCCTCTTTAGGAAACTCCAAATATCATACCCCAACATACTGATGTCAGAGTTCCTGGCCTTAGCCAAGTCCTGAAGTGCATTTAGCCCAACTATCTTGGAGGCCCACTTGTCCGATAACCACACAACTGTTACGTCTAAGTAAAACTATTATCTTAATGGCAGACTGGTGATAATATTTTGGTAACCAAAAACCAAATGTGATGCCTGGGTCTAACTTTGTTGGATAGGTAATATCATTGAGTAAAGTAGGGTTTTATGAAAGAAATCAAAATTACACAAAAGATGGTAGCTGTTTGAGGCATTTGCATTATAAAGACAGTATGAATTGGTTTGTAGAAACACTGAGGCAGAAACTATAGCTGTTGAGTTGAACAGAAGTAGGTAAACTTGAGGCTTGAATAATGACTACATATGTGTATATGTATATGTACACATATACATATAGTAACTGAATCACATGTTCCGAGGTGTCAATATATACACAAGTATAAGTGTTATTAAATAGAGAGAGGAGAAAATGAGAGAGAAACTTAGATACTTTTAAGAAACAATAAAGGTAATGGTAAAGGCCCTCCCGTTGATCATCGATTTGCTCCAGCGGGCCCAGTAACATCTCCATTGGAGACTTTGTTGTTACTGTGTTTGGCATATCGAATACGTCACGGGGAGCTTGCCAGGCCCTGCCGTCCGGGCGAGATACTCTCGGTAGCTTGCCGGGCTCCAGGGACCATAAATGGTGAGCTGTGTATATAGCTGTACTACCAATCCAACCCTATTATGGCTGTAATTTTTCTTGGACAGAGCGAAAATGCCAAAAGAGAGCATCTTGTAAATGCTTTTTCCTTTCTGTTTATTTTTGGGAGAATACACGGTGTTGGGACACAGAAACACGAGTTATTTGCTAACATTTTTTTCTCTTTCTGACCATGTAATAGGATTGCACATTTCCTGGTGAGCCTTTGCCTTGCTTGGACTTTGCCAATCAGAGGTGAGCAGAAGTGTCACAAATAATAGAGGGGGATGTCTTTCGAAGTTGGTGTCCTATTTATCCTGTTCTCTTCTGTCTGCCCCATGCTAGCAGTAATATTCAGATGAGAGCTCTATTCATCTACTCCTGAGTGATGGAATAGATAAAGAAGTGAATGAATAGATGAACGGATGTAGGGCATAGTTGACCCAAGACAAACAGGTATCTTGAGAGTTAAATAAACTTTTACTGATTGGAGGTAGGGAGGTTTGGGGCATAATCTCGGCTCTCTGGATTCTGTTGGAGCCATTCACCTGAAGCAGTAATTTTACTCCTGAGAGGCTGATTACAAAGCCCACCCAAGGTATTTAGAAAGTGGATTCTGCTAGCACCAAAGAAAAAACTATTTTAGTGGTAATAGGATTATGCAGGGACTTAGAACTCTCCAAAGCGGGTTTTTTTTTTTTTGCATCGTTAATTTCATACATTCCTCCTTGTGTTCTTGTGGGAAAGTCAGAAACCCGCCTCTTCCTTCAACTCTTCTGATCAGAATGGCTGCGCTCCCTGTCCGCACCCTACTACTCCACAGTGAATACACGCCTAACCTACCACTCAGCACAATAGGCTGCAATTGAACTAATATTACCGTCTCCCTAGAGGAGTGTGGCTAGTTCTTTCCTATATACCTTCTTTCCAGGCTCATACTAAATGACCTCCACAATGCTCTTTGAGGAAACGTATAAGAAAGTAGAGTGGCACTCTCAAGGTTACAAGCTACGAACTGCCATCCCGATTTGAATGAAAGTCTTTGGACCCAGCCGGTAACTTCATTACCCATTGCTCGGAGAGAGAGAAAGCAACAGGGCAGACTCCTCGGGAGGCGGGCCCAGGAGTGGCATGGGGCCGGACCAATCAGCGCGGGGGGGGCAAGGGCAGGCGGCCCAATCACGAGACGGCTGCGCTGCCACTGACAGTTTAGGCCGCGGCGGGACGGGCGCCCCGGCTACCCCGCCTCCTCCTCGGCGGGCGGTGGGGCTGAGTCACGGCGGGTGCAGGCCGGTCGGTGGATTCTGGAACCAAACAAACACGGCCCGGCGACACGCCACCCGCGGGAAGCAACCCCCTCCGCCCCGAGCTCGCGGGGACCGAGCGCGCCCGGCCTCCCGAGGAGCAGTCTCGGTGCTGCGCGGCGGACCCATCGCCACGACCCTCGGGGCTCCCTGAGCACCCCCCACCCCCGGAGCGGTGCATTGGGTCAGGTCGAACAAAATTGTCCCCCGCGTCCCAGCGACACGAGGCCCGGCCGCCACCTGCTCCCCCGGGAGCACCTGCAGCTCAGGAGGGGCCTCGGAAGCACGGGGCACCCCCCCCCCCCGCCCACGGAGGAGTGAGCCCCGAAAACGGCGCCACCTGTGCCCAGGGTGGCGGGAAGACTGTAACGTGGGGTGAGTTTTGGGGGTTTGTTTTGTTTTTTAAAACCCCCTTGCGACCGGGAACTGCCCGCTGTTCTGCGTGAGATCGACAATAACAAACGGTGGCGCAAGAGGCGGTCCCCGAGGAGAGGAAGCGGGCTGATTGCCCTGATCAAAAGCTGCTCACCGTACATAGTGCGGTATAGAGGATGAGGGCTGTGGCTTGTTGAAATTAGGTTTTTTGAAAGATCCTCTTAAAGGCAAGTTGACTGTAAGAGGCCCTACTCTTTTTGTTTTTGAGCCACACCCGCGGTGCTCAGGGCTTACTCGTGACTCTGTGCTCATGGGTCACTCCTGGCAGGACTCGGGAGACCTTCTAGGCAGGGTACCTGGGCTGGAACCCAGTTCGGCTACCTACAAGGCAAGTCCCCTACCCCCTATACTACCTCTCCGACCCCTTAAAAGGTCCTTCTCTTTAAAATGGGAAGTAGGATCTAATTCAGGTTTACTTAGTATGTCCCCCATTCCAGATGCAAAAATCACTCAATCAGGAAGCAGTTCCTGTTTTCTGTTCCCAAGCTAGCTTATTTGTTTACACCACAAACGTTCCTAACATTAAAAACAAGTCTCTTGGAGAAGAATGCAACTGATTATCTTCCTGGGTTTTTTTTTTCCTTTCTTTTTTCTAGAACTCCCCCACCTAGCCAAGCAAAATGAAGGTTGTACTTGTTGAGCCTGCCATTTGCCTCAGTGCATTTGCTCTGACTTTAACGTCTCCACTCACAACACAGTACGTGTACAGGAGAATATGGAACGAGACGAGTAACTACAGCATTGCACTTGAGAGTAATATTTCACAGTGTGAAAAGAATAAAAGCAACCCGTTTTTCATATTTCAGGAGGTAAGACATGAAAATATCCTCTCGTGTCATGGTATTCCTCTAACATCGATCCCTCTGGCAGTCACCATAACAATCCCAATCTAAGAGCCTTTATTCTGTTTGCACCTTGTTTCCTGATACCTTTAATCTGCCTCTTTTACTTAACCCTGCCCCCCACACCACACACACACACACACACACACACACACACACATGCACACACGTTAGAGGGAAGAGCAAATTTGGACAGACCCAGGGGTGCGCCAAGGCTATTTCTGGCTCTGTGCCCAGGAGTGAACCCAGGTAATGCTTGGGGACCAACCATATGTAATGTCAGGGATATAAACCCAGGTCAGCCAAACAAATGCCTTAATCCCTGCTCTCTCCCTGGCCCACAGGGCCCCTTCTTCTGTGATACAGATCCTTATTCTTTCAGAAAATCTCAGCAAGTCTCATCTCCTCTGAGATGGTCTCCTGTCCCTTTGCTCTTGCTTCCTACTCCAACCCCCAGAAAACCTCCTGAACCCGGGACCAATCTGTGGTGGCTAAAGTGAGGAAGCGTGATGTCTCTGCCGTTTTTGTTTGCTTCCTTCCATTTCCTTCCCCTGCAGGTTCATGACGCTGAATTTCAGTGATGCCTGATAGTGGCCTGTCACTGAAGGCTGGGATGGCCCTGAGTGCCCGTCATGGGTGGGGATGGGCAACCTGTACTGTTAGTGTCATATGTGGCATGCAGGGTTCGAACTTTTGCTCTGGAGAGCCTGAGGCTTTGTCAGCTATCACAGAGTCTTTCCTTCTCCCTCTCCAACCTCCTTTCCTTACTACCTTTTTGATTTGTTTAGATGAGTGGTACATTCCGCTGCTCCTTAAGCTCCTTATTGTAATAGGGGTCACTCCTTAGGCTCCTTGTTGTAATAGGGGTCACTCCGAGTGGGATCCTTCAGTGCTTTGTGTCAGAGATGGGACCCCAGCTGTGCTCCTCCTAAGCCTTAGGCACTTTTGAGCCATCTACCAGTGACCAAGGGCAATGGAGAAAGCATCCACATGGGGAATATTTTTTTGTTTTGGGGCCTACCCATCAGTTCTCAAGGCCTATTTCTATCTGTGCTTCTGGAGGTATTCAGGGAATGACCATATGAGATACTGGAGATAGAACCCAAGTTAGCCATGTTCAAGGCAACTGCCTTTTCCAATAATACTGTTATTCTAGCCCTAGGGAGGAATAATTTTTCTTAACAGAACATACTTACTGACTTTGAGTGCTTCCCCTTGAGGAGGGATATTTTGTAATGGTTAAGAGTGGTTCTGTCTCCCAGGGGATGAGAAAAACATAAGGAAATGCCAATGGCTGGCCTGTAAGATTTTATTCTCCATAGACTAGAACTCTGGAGACTCTAAGATTTTATTCTCCATAGAATAGAACTCTGGAGACCAGGGAGCGAGTTGAAACCTCAGAGGGAAAAGGCAAAAGGTCCCCAGTGGAGAGCTCCAGCACTTCTGAGCGGTCGCAAGAGTATCTGCTTACAAACTCTGCACTGGGGCCCAGCTGCTGAGCACAGTACCGGCTGGTTCCCCATTTCCATGGAACTGGTTCTTCCTGGGCAGCCAAGCCATGGTGAAGGCATGGCCTAGAGTGAATCCACAGCTAGAGAAGGGCCTGACATCCCCCTCACTGTTTGGCTTCCCTTCAGGCATGCTTCCCTTTCCCGTTCACAGGGCATGTCAGTGTCTGGGTGAGACTCTGGACCTTCCTTCTCCAGAGGGCCAGGAGTAGAGGAGGAATAGAAGAAGAGAGAACTTGAGTGTCTGGAGGTATTGGCTGCCAGGTTTCCTTAAGGTGGGAGACACAGATCTTAGCCCCCCACCCTGGGGTCCCCTCTCAGCAGCTTCAGTGAGTGCCCGTTGGAGAATCTTAGCCTCAGGGGAGCTGGCCTGGCCCAGAGCAGGGGGCTGCAATGTGAAGATGCACATACAGATTTTTTAATTGAATTTTAAGTGGAATGGATTGACTGTTGTTTCTTAATTGCTCTTTAAATTGGTTGATAGTCAAACAAAAAAAACTGTAGTCACCTTCCCCAACCTGCCACCCACGACTGGGATGGACATCAGTGTCATCTCAATTTTAATTCCAAGGACAGGAGGATCTTTTTATTTCCCCGGAAGCACTGCTATCATGTCAGTCCTTCCTTCCAGCCTCCTGCTTAGCATCTGAGAGAACATTCTCTTCCAAGGACTCCTGTTCACCATTCCCTAGCTCTGCAGGGAGGATTTCAGCTAGTTGCTCATGGAAAGAACCCTGAAAATAAAAGCTGTTCTAGTGCAGGGTCACCCCCAAAATAATAGTTAGGTACTGTTTTCAGTGGGCTGGAGCAATAGCACAGCGGTAGGGCATTTGCCTTAAAAGCAGCCAACATGGACAACCCAAGTTCGATTCCTCCGCCCCTCTTGGAGAGCCCGGCAAGCTACCGAGAGTATCTTGCCCCCATGGCAAAGCCTGGCAAGCTACCTGTGATGTATTCGATATGCCAAACACAGTAACAACAAGTCTCACAACGGAGATGTTACTGGGCCCGCTCGAGCAAATCGATGAACAACGGGAGGACGGTGCTACAGTGCTACTGTTTTCAGTTCAGATTTTTCTGCCCAAGCTCCTTAAGGAACTGTTGTGTATAGGAGTGGACAGTATACTAATGTGTTGCTTCCTCTAATGCTATATTTACTTATCCTTCCTGTACAAATCAACACATGTGCATGTATATGAAAAAGCCTCCGACATCCCATATGGTCCCCCAAGTCCTCCAGGAGTAGTCCCCGAGCACAGAGCCAGGAGTATGCCCTAAGCACAGCCAGGTATGACCACAAAACTAAGAAAAAATAAGATATTAGAATTTCAGGGTACAAACATAGGAGTCAACTAAGTTATTTCACTTAAATATAACATTTTGAAAATCTGTGTCGAAAAGTATTGGGCTTAAATTGATCTAGTCTGTTTTCAACATCATGATTTCTGACTTAAGATACATTTGTACACTTCTCTTGGGCAATGAATAATATCAGTCTCTTAAGCAGCATTTCTCAGCCAGTGGTCAGTAACCCCCAATGTGCCCTCAGGATATTCCAAGGGGCCACAGCTAAAAGTCAGGAAAATTGGGGCCCATGGCACCATAAGACCAGGGAGACCACTGGAAGGACACAGGAAATAAGGTGGGAAAGGGTGCAAAAAGAGGTTGAGCAACATTGCTCTGAAGGGCCTCTTAACAAAGTAGCCAGACTATGAGTAGGAAACTCTTAACTCAGGGCAAAGAACTAAAGCATTGTAGGTGTATTTTGTTGACTTTTGTGGAGGAAGAAATTTTGAAGCCCTTTATCATTCCTTTGCTTGTTAAGAGATTAACTTTGAAGTGTTAGATTGGCCTATGGGATTTGTTCTAGGACATTTAGATAGGTACTCTGCAAATTGGAGCAGATAATGATAATCAATAGATAAAAGATCAGGGCATTCTTGCTCAGGAATTGATGTATAAAACTATTTTAAATTATTAACACACCTGGCAGTGCACAGGACTTAGTCCTGGCTCTCTGCTCAGGAGTCATTCAGGACGGGACTCTACTTGGGGCACTAAATGTAGTGCTGGGGATCCAAGCTGGGCCTGCCACATTCAAGGCAAGCATCTTGCCTGCTATACTCTCTGTCCCCAACACAAGTTTTGGGTTGTATTTTTAAACCAATAGATTTAGTGAATATTTTGTATTCAACAGAAATATATATATTTCTGTCACTGTCCTCCCGTTGTTTATCGATTTGCTCGAGTTGTTGTTACTGTGTTTGGCATATCGAATACATCACGGCAAGCTTGCCAGGCTCTGCCGTGCGGGCGAGATACTCTCGGTAGCTTGCCGGGCTCTCCGAGAGGGGCGGAGGAATCGAACTCGGGTTGGCCATGTTGGCTGCGTGCAAGGCAAACGCCCTACTGCTGTGCTATCACTCCAGCCCTATATACATACATATATATATATATATATATATATATATATATATAACTTGAAATAGTAACTTTTTTAAACAGGAAATAATGTCCTTCAACTGATGTCTTCCATCTACCCTTATATATTGTATTCTATTATATACAGTAATTATGTCTACTAATTATAATATATAGTAATGGTAAGACTCCAGCACTTAAGAGGTACAGACATATACACTCTACTTATGTCTTCAATTTGATTTATAATCATAATAAGTCTCAGTCATTGTTAAAGTGTGTCTTTTAAAAGCACTGCATATGGTCCCCTGAGCCTGCCAGGAGTGATCCTCAAGTGCAGAGCCAGGAGGATCCTGAGCATCACCACGTGTGGCTCCAAAAAAAAAGTGAAAAATTAAATCAAATCTGTATTTTAAAATAGATTAAGTCACAGATGAGGAGAGAGGTCTATGTTAGTGACTGGGTTAAGAGTGATGATAGGTACACATGGGAAAGAAGAGAGAACATAATGGAGAGATGCATTCTTTGGATGTGGGAGGCCCCAGTACCTTATGAGAGTCCAATCACCACCTTGGGTGATACCCTCTCCAACCAAGCCCCCACAGCACAGAGCCTGAAGTAGACCCTCAGCACTGCAGTATGTAACCAAAAAGCCAGGGGTAGGGAGTGGAGAATGATAGTAGATAAAGGGAACACAGGACTTGGGTGGAGGGGTAGAAATGGGAGGAGGAATCTACAAGTAGAACATCTTGTTGCGCTGATGTTCTGATTAAAAGATAAGTTGCTCCATTCTGCAATATTTACCTAATCCAAATGATGCCTGTAATAGCTTAAAGATATGCTCAAGAAAACTAAAGTAGTAAAGATGAAGAGCTCAAACCACATTAAGCGGGACCGCACAATGTCTCTGTGCAGTACCTTGCCACAGCCCTCCAGGGAGGGATAATGGTTTGCTCCTTGTCAGAGATTAGAGTCTCCTGAAGCTTGGAAGGAGATAAGGAGAGAGGGGATGGGGAGAGAGAGAGGAGGGAGAGAGAAAAAGGGGGGAGAGAAAAAACAGCCAGTAGGATCTGTCGAGTGTCAAGCCTGTGCTGAGCTGTGTTCTAGAAACTGGTGATACTATAGGAAAGAAGATTTCAAGCATCCCTGGAGGTTGGCCTGGAGTACTGAAGGCAGCCAGTGAAGTTGGTGGAGTCAAATACCAGGTCTCATCTCTAAAAGATATACATATACATATACATATACATATACATATACATATACATATACATATACATATACATAGCATATACATATCCCAGCCCTTCAGCTGGGAGGGTTGCTTCATATGGAGTGATTGGCCAATGGAAATTCTTCTGAAGGGGCTTGAAGCAGTGTGACAATCAGGCAGAGGGAACAAGAACAAAACCAAATGAGCCCAGAGTGTGTGAGAGTTAGATTGTTAACTGAGAGAAGTGCAGAATATGGAGAGGAAAGCAGAGAAGTCTTGTTGGCCCCTGTACCGTGGCGAGGAGTTTAGTTTTACTCCAGGGTGGGGAAGGCCACAGGGGAATTTAAAGCACAAGAATGACAAGAGCTGATGTAGCTTTGATCTGGTTCCTGCCCACTATCCCTCACTCTTTTTGTTGTTCTTGCTGCTGCAATGCTCAGGGGTTGCACACTTGGCAACAGTGTGCTGGGAGCCACACTGTGGCCATGCCAGTGATCACAGCATGCGGTGATGCTAGGGAGTAAACGCAGAAGCCTCGTGCATGCAAAGTGGCTCTCTACCATTGAGTGGCACTCCCAGACCGGGGTGTATGTTTCTTAATATCAGTCTAATTGCTGTGTAATGAGTGGCCTGATTTTAGATCCAAATTCACCTGGCTCCAGAGCTTAAGCTCTTAGTGAATGAGGACTCTTAATCAAGCTCTGCTTCAAAATGATCATATGTTAAGGTTAAGAGGACAGGAGGGGGAGATGAATCTGGGAATATCAGAGAGATGCAGTTTGAACTTGACTCTGGGCTCTGCATGGGACATACTGAGCATCTGAGGAATGAGTGTGGGTTAATGCTGAAAAGTGACTTTGGACCATCTCTTGGTGACTTGAAATACCAGACTTAGCCCAGACTCTGGGGTGTGGACTTGGCCTAACAGGAAAAAGGAAGATCCTGACGCTGTAAGGCAGATGAAAGATTCGCCAAGGTGTGTTTTTACAAACATGTTCCCAGTCTCGTAGTAGGTTACCTGCAAAGGACGCCTAGCATTATTAAGTTGACTATATGTCCAGGTAAAAACTAAGCAGAGTTGTCAATTCTGGCAGCAACATTGGGATTCTAGGATGGGAAAGCAAGAGAAGTTCCGGGATGCGGTGGTGGGGGAGAGGGGTGCCAGGGGAGTAAGTGGGGATAGGACAGACTGTGTGGGTAGGGCACGGGTGAAAACAAGGCTAGAGAGCCAGAAATGACAGAAGATTTGCATTTGATTGATTAGAATATTTCTGGGCTGGAGTGATAGCACAGTGGGTAGGGCGTTCGCCTTACAAGCGGCCAACATGGCCGACTCGAGTTCGATTCCTCCGCCCCTCTCGGAGAGCCCGGCAAGCTACCGAGAGTATTGGATATGCCAGACACAGTAACAACAAAGTCTCCAATGGAGACGTTACTGGGCCCGCTCGAGCAAATCGATGATCAACGGGAGGGCCTTTACCTTTACCTTTAGAATATTTCCTGGAAATTGCTTAAATTACATGAATATGTAACAATAAAAAATAAGCTCACAGGAGCCAGAGAGATAGTACAGCAGGTAGGTCACTTACCTTGCACATGGCCAGCCCGGGGTTCAATCCCTACCATCTCATGTGATCTTCTTAACCCCACCAGGAGTGGTTCCTGAGCACAGAGCCAGGAGTAACCCCTGAGTACTGCTGTATGTGCCCCAAAACCATTAAAAAAAATAAAAATTAAGCTCACAGTGTAAGAGAAATCATCATATAGTATTTGATATATTTTTGTTGTCCATCACTTGTTGAGGATGTTTTCTAAATACTCTATGAATCCATCTGCTTAGGAATCCATTAAGAAACAGTGCACAGTCTTTATATTAAATGCCTTTAAATTATCCCCCTCCCCATTCTTCTCTCCCATTAGCGTGTGTAAGAAATGTGACAGCTTCTGATCTGCTTGTGTCCCTAGTGGTCTCTTTGTTTTAGTTCTCAAAGGAGTTGAGTTTATCTGACTCCCTAGCTCATCCTGACCACCTCTAGTCTATGTAAAACTCCTCTTTTGGTTTGGTTTTAAACTCTTTAGTAAATAAAAGAGCAGAGTTCTAAGTGATATAAGTGGAAGCACAATGAAAAAAGGAAATTGAATGTTTGCTACCTCAGCTTTTGTTTGATATTCATTCTCCTTTATAATAGAAATGGGGAAGGTATTGCTCTTGTTTAGAACAGTGACCGTGGTCATTTAATGATAACTGTTAATAGAAGAAAAAAATTATATAACTTGTCCTGGAGGTCTTGGGCTCTATGGATCCTCTATACAAGATAGACATTCATCATCCATCTGTACACACTTTATTCTTTCATGGTTAAAATTCCCCCCATCCCCTGGGGTACTTGAGTATAGTGACTGAGTATTGTTGTTCTTTTTTGTGTCACACCTGGTGGTGCTCAGGAGACTCCTGGTGGGGGGAGATTGGGGAGAGGGCTCTGACCATTAACCCAGGTCACATGTGTGCAGGTCACATGCTCTATATACTTTACTATGGCTCAGTCCCTGGCGGCTGAGCCTCTGTGATCATATCACTTCTTGACATCTGCTTTGTGAACTGCATGAAGAATGAAGCTCTGCAAAGTCTACACAACAGAGAGGCCCCATCTGTGATCTATTGGCAATTCCATCTAAAAAAAATGTGCACTATTTATGTTGTCTAAATCTCTGAAAACACCTTGTCTTCTTTGTATTCCTTTATAGGAAGTTCAGAAAAAAGTGTCTCTTTTCAGTCTGCAAATGGACATGAGTGGATTGATTCCAGGCCTGGTGTCTACATTCATACTTCTGTCTTACAGTGATCACCAAGGACGAAAGTTTCCAATGATTTTGTCTTCTGTTGGTGCTCTTGCAACCAGTATTTGGCTCTGTTTGCTTTCCTATTTTGCCTTTCCATTTCAGCTTTTGATAGCATCTTCCTTTATTGCTGCATTTTGTGGCAATTCCACCACATTTTTGGGAGCCTGTTTTGCCTACATAGTTGACCAATGCAAAGAACAGAAACAAAAAACTATTCGAATAGCAATAACTGATTTTATACTTGGACTTGTTACTGGATTAACGGGACTGTCTTCTGGCTATTTTATTAGAGAACTAGGCTTCGTGTGGTCATTTTTAATTATCGCAATGGTTCTTACTGTCAACTTAGTTTATATTGTATTTTTCCTTGATGACTCAAAGACAGAGTCTTCATCTCAGAGTGGGTCCAGATCATGTAGTGAGGGCTTAAAAAACCTGCTTTCCCAAACTTACATGCTTTTTAAAAATGCTTCTGGGAAGCAGCGATCTTTGCTCGGTTTGTTACTTTTTACAATGATGAGTTATTTTTTCGTGATAATAGGTACTTCCCCCATTTTTATCCTATATGAATTAGATTCACCACTCTGCTGGAATGAAGTTTTTATAGGTTATGGATCAGCTTTGGGTAGTATCTCTTTTTTGAGTAGTTTCCTGGGAATATGGCTTTTCTCTTACTTTATGGAAGATATTCACATGGCCTTCATTGGAATTTTGACCACCATGGTGGGAATGGCTATGACAGCCTTTGCCAGAACAACACTGATGATGTTTTTAGGTGAGTTGCTAATGGAGTATTTGATGCATATGTAAAATGTGTGTTTGATATTTATAGAAAATGAATTTAGTCTGTTGGGTGAGAAATTTTAATAGGAAAACTTCCGTGTAACTCATTTTAGAATTTTTAATTTAATAATTTTTAAAAGCATACCATTCTAGTTTAATTAAAGTTATTTGATAAAAGTTAGCCTGCCAGAAGCTAGAAGCTAAATGTTTAAGAAAAAAACAATTCACCAGATAACTCTGATTTTACAAATTAGAATATTTACCAAAACCTTATTTTGAGGAATATTCTTTTTGTAAATGAAATCTTTAATATAGTTGTCACCAAGATAAATATTTTTTAAAATACTTCTTGAGGATGTGGAGAGTTACCTGCTCAGTTACCTGCTTCAGGTTGAACTGGAATCCCCAGTTCAACCCCTGGCTTCCTGTGCTTCCCTCCAAGAAACAAAAACAAAAACAAATGATATAAAAATGCTAGGACACTTTCAAAAAATCTTAAGACAATTGTATATGGTATACTTAAAAGATCTGTAAGAAAAGTCATTAAATATATTCAAGAAAAAAAATTCTTTGACGAGGTTTTCCAAATTGGTCCTTCTGCAATTGACCACGCCATTAACTGGTTTTGGATAAATCACTTTTTGCAAATTGGACTGCATTCTTACCTACTGATCTCATAAGTGGTTTTTGTATGACTCAAGGGAGGTACTGCATCTAATAGAGCTGTTGGAATTTTGGGAAAATTTAATCGCTTTCTACAAAGTGAGTATTGACTTCTTGCTACCTTGCAGAGACCAAGCAGGATTGGACTTACTTTTTATCTATAGTACTAGTTAATTTAATCTAAGTTACTTACACCTCATATTTATTTATTTATTTATTTATTTATTTATTTGCTTTTTTGGGTCACCTGGTAATGCTTAGGGGTTACTCCTGGCTCTGCACTCAGGAATTCTGGCAGTGCTCAGGAGACCATGTGGGATGCTGGGAATCAAACCCCGGTCGGCCGCAGGCAAGGCAAATGTCCTATCTGCTGTACTATTGCTCCATCCCCTACACCTCATTTTTAATCTGTAAAATGAGTAAAGTAGTATGTAATTCAGAGGATAATCATGAATAAAATACTCTAAAGCACTTAGCAGAATGTCTCCTCTCAGCAAATGCCAGATCTTCCTTCTCTTAGAGTTCTGAAGGCAAATGAATTTAATGAATGTGAAAACACGTTAAAAACATCAAAGTTATCCTCAAATGTAATATATAACCACTTTAATATGTCTTTTTTACAATGGGTTTTTAAAATTTCTATATTAAGCAGCCTCTCTACCATTGAGTGGCATTACTAGGCCTTGATGTTATTTTTAACATTGTTCTAATGTCTGTGTATTGAATGGTCTGATTTTGGATTCAAATTCACCTGACTATATAGCTTAATCTCTTAATCAATGAGGACTCTTAATTCAAGTCCACTTTGAAATGATTATTGTTATATGATAATGTTGTTACATATTATTCATAATAGCACTGTAGGACTCTCCTCCCGTTGTTCATCAATTTTCTTGAGTGGGCACTAGTAACGTCTCCATTCTGAGACTTATTACTGCTTTTGGTATATTGACTATGTCACGGGTAGCTTGCCAGGCTTTGCCGTGCGGGCAGGTACTCTCGGTAGCTTGCCGGCCTCTCTGGGAGGGTCGGAGGAATTGAACTCGGGTTGGCCATGTGCAGGCAAATGCCCTACCCACTGTGCTATGGCTCAGGTTCATTATTCATAATATATAATATATTTTATGTATTATAAATTTAATAGAATGTAATATCATCAGGCCCTGGGCATGTCATCCCCTGAAAATGCAACTACTAAGACTTATAATTTAAGACTAAAGATAATTTTTGTCACTAAAGCTATTTGGCCACAAGGAGGAAGAGCAAGATAAGAAAGAACCAATTTATCAATAAATGAATCAAAACAAGAAGTGGTGTGGACACTGGAATAGAAAGTCTGAAAAATAAAAGCAAAGAAGCAAATAATAAAATCTAAATGACAGTCACATTAATAAATAAGAAGTTATTCATTATTTATATAGTAATTTGGAAATTAGCAGATAATTCCCATTTGGTAGATAATACAGACCTGAACCAGAAAAACAAAAAACTACCACAAACCTCTGTTCTTAGCATTGCAATAAAAATTCTGGAGTAAAATAGCCTTAAATAGATTCATCTTTAAGTTATTTTCATTCATTAGCAGAATTATACAGTTAATTCCATCTTTAGGAGCATTGATTGCATTAGGATGCTTACTGAAAATGAAATATTTAGAGAGAAAATATTCCCTCTGCAAATGAACCTCTGGTTTTCTGATGTGCCGTTTCCAACTGTGTCTCTCCCAGTCAGGCTGCCGTTCCTTTTCACTATTGTCCCCCTGTCTGTCCTGAGGTCCATGATGTCAAAAGTGGTTCGTTCTACTGAACAAGGTGAGTGTCATCTGCTCAAGGGATATAATAAGCCTACGACCTATGCTACCTCAAATCTAGATATCACCAACATTTGATTCTTCATAATATTCTACAACTCTTTTTTTTATCTTTTCTTGTCTTGGGGTCACACCCAGCAGTGCTCAGGGCTTACTCCTGGCTCTGCTCAGGGATCACTCTTGTCAGGGTACAGGGGACCATATGGGATGCCAGAAATCCAACCTGGACCAGCTACAAGTGGTTTTTCTGCTGTATTATCTCTCTGCCCCCTACAGCTTCTTTTTGAAGAGAATATTGGAGATAAGAGGTACACTTGTTGGTAGGAAGAAGCTACCATAAAGGCAGGGCATGGTATGCCCAGGGCCTGGTGCTGAAAGGGCATGCTCTTGGCTTGCCCTCACCGGAAAGAGAGGAGACCTCAAGCCAGGTGAATCTGCCTACTGGGCTCCCAGCATTTCTAGAATACTTTCTGGTACCTGAGTCATCACAATTCCCAGCCAGCCAGCTCTGGGTTCACATCGAGAAAGTTCCTGGATGACCCTTTTCCAACCCTTTCTCTTCAGAGTTGACTTGCCCCTATGCTTGCCTCTAACCAGAGGGAGGGCCTGCCAGGGATTGTTGTATAGCTGCCCAAACTTCCCTTTTCAGAAAAAGAAAAAAAAAATGGTGTCCTCCTAGAAATCTACCCTCCTTAAATCAACAAACAGCAGCTCTCCATTTATACCAGAGACTTGGATTGGTACACCCATTTTGGAAACCACTGATTTACAGCCTTGATTTTTTTTTGAAGTATAACAGATTTTATTTGGAAGTTTTGAGGAAGGGGTGTGTGTGTGTGTGTGTGTGTGTGTGTGTGTGTGTGTGTGTGTGTATTGGAGAGTCAGAGAGAGAAAGAGAGAGACAGACAGACAGACAGAGACAGACACAGAGAAAGACATAGACAGACAGAGAGTGAGAGAGAGAGAGATAGAGAGAGAGAGAAAGAGAGAGAGAGAGAGAGAATAACATGCTCAAGAGAATGTGGGTTTCTCCAGAGTGGAGAGGGAGTGACAGCACACACCTCAAGCATCAGTTTAGGAAAGTATGAAGGTACACATCTCAAGAAGGGAAATGCAGGCGACACGTGTGCTCAGGTACCACATGCACTTGGGCAACATATGCATGCTATAGTCTTGCTTCTTAAACCAAGGGGGAAATCACACACCGATAAAAGGCAATGCTAAAACCCTTTTTGGGGGCAACAGTAAAAGGCATTCCACCCTCACAGACCTTATCTGGCCCTGTCTCAGTTCCCCTGTCCCTGTCATACCCCCATCCAAATCCTTATGACCAAGTAATCATTCAGAATCAACTGCTCACTGAATTCCAGGTGTTCCTGGCAGCGCTTGCCCATGCTCCACAGGTGTGGCAGCTTCCTGCTAAAGAGTGGGGGAAGGGTTGGGGTGGGGAGCAGAAATGGGGGTGGAGTTCTAAAATTAAATAGTGGTAATGGCTTTCCAACTCTATGAACATATTGGTAATCACTGAATTGCCCAGTACCAAAGTAGGTATTTTATAGAACAACTTCATCGATAAAGTTTTTCAGGAGAAAAATATTTTTACTTGTTTCACTTAAAGCAAAAAATTAAAATGCATGTTTTATAATAAAAAAAACTATGCATATCTACCTTTGTTCCTATTTGGTTTATTTGTAAAGACTTTTTTAAAAGTAAGTTTACTATTCAATGTAGTGACATTTAAAATTATTTACATTTTGGCACTTTGGATTCTAAATGATGAAGATACATTTTGTGAGTTGTGAGTCATTTGTTCCCATATCAGATCATTTGTTTACTACAAACTTAAAAAATTGCTTTGATGGTGTCAATGTCTCTGAAATGGAAAATGTCACCAATCTTCATTTTGTTTGTTTGTGGAGGAAGAGGGAACATACCCATAGTGCTCACACCTTACTCCTGGTTCTGTGCTCAGGGATAACTCCTGATAGGCCTGGGGAACTATGTGGGTTGCTGGTTGTCGAACCCAGGTCAGCCTTGTACAAAGCAAATGCCCTATCTGCTGTACTATTTCTCTGGTCCTCATTCATTACTTTTTTTTTTTTACAATGGATATTATTTGTGAAAATTGCACTTAAATACTGAAAGAAAGGAACACTGCTGAGGTTTTCACTGCCTGTCACTTTCTGTTCTTTTAAATCATAAAAGGGACTAACGTGCTTCAGCTTCGGGGTGAACAGTAAACTGCACCCACTGAGGCCTCTTATCTTCACATCCATGTGCTTTTTGTATAATAAAAGAAAATTCATAAAAACAGGCTGGACTTTTGAAATTGAGTTTCAATTTTTGGGTTTTTTGTTTTGTTTTGTTTTGGTTTGGTTTGGTTTGGTTTGGGGGTCACACCAAGTAACACTCAGGGATTACTCCTGGCTGTGCATTCAGGAAATACACCTGGGTCTTGGGGGCGCATCTAGGGTACTGGAGATTGAACCCAGGTTGGCCATATGCAAGGCAGGCACCTTACCGGCTGTACTATCGCTGCAACCTCAAAACTGAGTTTTTTTTAATTTACAAAACAATCACACTAATCATTAAATCAGTTTATAAACTCTCATGGTATTAAACATGATGAACTTCTCAGGGCAGGTCAGCAGGAAGCTGGTGGAACTTCCTAATTGTGCAGTTTGTTTGTGTCCTTACAGTTCTTGAGTTCCCTGGCCAATCACCCATTCAGAATGGACTCAAGCCATTGTAAAACAGGATGAGTAATGGGCAGTCTGTCCTCCAAGGCACCATCCCTGGCTTTAACAAAGGATTAGTAATAAAATCACTGTGCTAGAGAGAGAGTACAGTGGGCAGGCCACTTGCCTTGCACATTGACCAGCCTGGATTTGATTCCCAGCATCCTATATCATGCCCTGAGCCTGTTAGGAATAATTCCAGGGTGTAGAGCTAGGAGTAACCCCTGAGCCTTGCTGGCTGTGGCCCCACTTCAAAATAAATGAAATAAAATTCACATAGATAAGATTTCTTCCCAATTAAAACTGACAGTTTCCATAAATCAAAGAGGCAACCAGTTTATAACCCTTTTGATGATTAATAACTGAGCTCTTGAATGAAACTTAGGTTCACTTGTTTGACAAGGAAGTATTAAACATTTACTATGTGCCAGGACCATGAGGCCCTGGGTACAGAGCAGTGGACAAAACAGATGTACACTTTGCCTTGACAAAGCTTTGTAGTCCGAAGAAAGCATGTAAATGATAACACAATTTCAGAAGGCATATGCTTGTTTGATGAGTTTTATAATGAAGAATTGGAACTTCAATGTCTGAAAATATGCATAATAGAATGAAAAGATTAAATCAATAAAGAAAATCAATATGCAGCTTAAAAGAGCAAGGTCATGAATACTTGAGACAATATTTTTTGTAAACAACAACCTCTTTATAAAAGATTATCCTCAATCCTACATTTTCCTTTCTATCAGTCTAATAAAATCACATGATATTATTTTTGTTGTTATTTTTGTTTGGGGTCATACCTGGAGGTGCTCAGGGCTTATTCCTGGTTCTGCAGCACCTGGGATTGAATTGGGGTTAACCATGCGCAAGGCAATTGCAGCACCTGTCATAGAATTGGAGTTAACCATGCACAAGGCAATTGCCTTAGCCCCTATTCTGTCTCTCCCAGGTCCAGAATCCACACCCTTTTGTATTTGGTAAAACACCTGAGAGTGGAGGCACTTGTAAGCTGGTTCAACAGAAAATATGGTTCAAGAACCACATCCAAGTATAGGATTATTTTTACTAGAGTCCAGAGCAATGACTTGGGGAGTCTAAATTTTGTGTCACTCTGGAAGTAGAAATTCGATTTTAAGTACAAAAATGTAGGATAAAGTAATTAATAACTGAGCTCTTGAATGAAACTTAGATTCACTTGTTTGACAAGGAAGTATCAAACATTTACTATGTGCCAGGACCATGAGGCCCTGGGTATAGAGCAGTGGACAAAACAGATGGACACTTTGCTTTGACAAAACTTTGTAGTTTGAAGAAAGCAAGTAAATGATCACACAATTTCAAACACCAAACACGATGACCACTTAGTATCTGTATTGCAAATCACATGCCCAAAATTAGGGAGTAAGAAGGATTGTACCTGCCACAGAGGCAGGGAGTGGGGTGAGGTGGGGGTGGTGGTTGGGACACTGGGAACAGTGGTGGTGGAAAATGTGCACTGGTGGAGGGATGAGTGCTTGAGCATAGTTTGACAAATTCAAGTTTGTAACTGTCTCTCACGTTGATCCAATAAAACTTCTTTTTTAAAAAAAGTAGGATAGGAAAACCTTTCTCTGCCTACAGCTGTCACTCTTCCATATCTAAGAAGCAGTTTAAAAATGATGCTCTACCATGGGAGGGATATTATTCATGGTGGTGGAAAATGGGCACTGGTGGAGGGATGGGTATTTGATCATTGTATAATCGAAACCCAAGCACAAAAATTTGTAAATCTACATCTGTACTTCATAGTGTTTCACTAATAAAAATTTTTTAAAAAATGATCCTCTACCTTCCCAAAGGGTAAGCATCCATTGCCACGAGCTAACCTTGGGATACCTGCTGTCTGGAAGGTTGCTGGGAGCCTGAGACAACTCAGGTGGAGGCTGTGATGGGGATGAGAGGCAGGCAGGGTCCAGACAAGCCAGTTGCTCCAGCCTCAGCTCTGTCCTGTAGTCACAGGCTACTGTATTTTCAACATCAAGTCCCAGAACATTTTTTTATTTAAAATTTTTAATATTTATTTTGGAGTCACCACACCTACCTATGCTCAACACTTACTCTAGGCTTCATGCTCAGAGATGTTCCTGAGCAGACTCACAGGACCATATGTGGTGCTGGGGATCAAACCTCGATCAGCCTCATGCAAGACAAGCCCCTTGCCCACTGTACTCTCTGGCCCCATGACCTCAGTTTCTTGACTGCAGAATGAGCAATTCACTCCATGTTAATTCTTTTCAATGCATGTTCCATGTTCATTTTGATTTGTTGACTCATTACAGAGCTTTTCTTTTTCCTTGCCCCAACCCCAACCAGGTACACTGTTTGCTTGTATTGCTTTCTTGGAAACACTCAGTGGAGCCACAGCAATTACTGTCTTCAATGGGATTTATTCAGCCACTGTTGGCTGGTATCCAGGCTTCATCTTTCTGCTGTCTGCGGTTCTACTCTTAATCCCAGCAATGAGTCTGTGGTATGTACTTTTTAGTTATTTTACCAAAGGACAACTGGGTTGAGTTAACCTTACTAGAAAAATTATGTAGGTATAAAATCTTTGCCTTAGATATACTTTACTGAAAAACTTTTAGAATGAAGACATTTGTCAGAAATTTTGGTGACTGGGCTAGACTTGGCTGACAAGAATCAAGAGAAAGAATGATTGGGTTATATAGAGATTCAGAGAAGTTCCACCTTCTCAAACAATAAGTTAAATTGGCATCTAAGAACAACCATGTGTATATTCAAATTATTATTTTCCTATAGTATGATATCCCGTGCTGGTCAAAGATAACTGTAAAAAGATATATTTTAATACAGATTCTTGGATGAATGAAAAGAGCAGGTAATTGACACTAAATATAAGGTATTGTCTTTCCAAGGATTTGGCTTTAGGACTCACTTTGATATTAAAGTCTGAATCGAAAGTACATACAAAATGCCATTTATAAATAAAAAAAATTAGAAGCTTAAACATTAGAGAACTATTTCTCTCCCTTTCCTTAAACAAAGGAAAGTTTAAGCCAGCTTGGTAGGTGATTGCTAAAGTGCCCATGCAAATATGGTTGACAGATTCTGTGAGGCCAGAGCACTGAACTGAGAGCTTAGTGACATTTCTCTTCAGAGTTTTGCCCTCTTTCTCAGGCCCATAGGAATCAGCAGAGTCAGGTCTCCCTCTTCTCCTAAGCACTGTGGGTGTGGCTGTAAGGGAGAAAATCTCTCACCTGTATAGACACAAAACCTATAACAGCCGAGGACACCCTTAAGGACTGGCCCTCATCTTTATTGTTGTGCCCTTCAACTGCCTGCTGATGACCTGGAGTAGCAAAAGACAGTGTAGTTGTATGTGTATTTTCTCTGTGTTATGCTGAAAATTTATTTGACTAGTTATTTGAAAAAGGAGTCTCATCATTTATCTATTGGACTGGATCATCTACTGTTAAAAATTAACAGTAACATCTGTTGCTAGTGAGCATGTGATGAGAATATAAGGTCAGTCTATGTATTGCTGTTATTAAGTCTTACTCCTTATTGTTCATTTTGGAAAGTAATTCATGGATATATATAAAATGCTTTTGAAAAGAAAACAACCTAGTGTATCTGATGCAGTGATTCCTTTTAAAACCATATCCTAAGGCAATGATCAATGTCCAAAAGTATATGTAATGAACCTAATTTTAAATGAACATACTGACTAACCATAAGAGATGATTAATGAAGATACATCTATATCACGAAATTGGCCTTTAATAAGAGTTGCATAGATGGTGAACAGAATAGTGGGTAGTTTTAACTTTATTGTCCATGTATTAATAGTCTATATAACCCATTTTACTTTTATAATTTGAAAAATGAGTACATGTGGATAAAAGGCAGTTATCTTTATAGTAATGTTTCTAATAATTTAAATGTAGATGATAGTCTATTTTTAATCCCATACCATTTAGTGTTTTACATCGAAAGGCACAGGGCTGGAGAAACAGTACAGGGGTTAAGGTACTTGCCTTGTATACTACTTACCTCTGTTTAGTCGTGGCACTGGATGTGGGCCCCCAGTCACCTCCAGGAGTGATCCCTGTGCCTTGAGTATCCCCTTGTGTGTGACCCAAGCCCCATCCTCAAAAGAGAAAATTATGTACTATTTTAATTACTTCCAGATATGTATTCCCAGCTTTAAGTATAGCTACTGGACATAAACTTCAGCAGTAACTTTAGTTTAAATGTTTCATGTGTTGGAGCTGAAGCAATAGTACAGTGGGTAGGGAATCCGCCTTGCACAGAGTGACCTGACTTCAGTCCCTGGCATCCCAAATGGTCCCCAAGCACTGCCAGGAGTAATTCCAGGGGTGCCAGGGGTGCAGAGCCAGAACTAACCCCCGAGGATTGCTGTGTGTGACCCAAAAAGCCAAAAAAAACTTTCTTGTGAACTATGTGGAGCAGGCAGGAGTATGGAAAAGATTGCCGCATGGGAATTAAGAATGCTAGGATGCAGAGGTGGAGCATACTTTAGCAGGTAGGATGCTTGTCTTACATGTGGCAGACCCGGGTTTGATCCCCGGCACTCCACATGGACCCTGGAGCACTGCTAGGAGTGATCCCCTAGCACAGAGCCAAGAGTAAGACCTGAGCACAGTTGGGTGTGGCCTCCAGATCAAAGCCAAACAAAACATCAGGATATACCTTGATATGATTTATTAAAATCCACGTAGCCAGGTGGCACTCCCTTCTCTCATCACAACTGCCTTCAAGCTGTGGGATGCATAATTTTTCTTCCTTTTCTTTATGGGATGCCCTTTTTTCCTCTCCCTTGTTAATATTTCCTAATTTAAAAAGAAGCATACATTTTTCCCCTCTACAAAAATTAATCCAACTGAACAGGAAAGAGTGGCATTATAGATTCTTTATGTATGACCTTAATCTCCATTGTTAAGTGTCTTGTTTGTTTTGGCAGCGTTGTCAAGTGCTCCAACTGGAATGAAGGAAGCTACGTCGTTCTGACACAAGAGGAATCCAATGAAGACACTTCGGACAGATGATTGATGAACTGAGATTCTTTTATTTTTTTTTTTAAAAAGCACATATCACTAACTCCACAATCAGTACTTCATGACTAATTAATAAGTGATGTGTTCTTTCTTCTTTATAGTCATAGAAGTCATTCCTGGCTATAGCTTCTAGAAGTACTATGCACTTTAAGCACTTTATGAATATCATGTGATCTATTTCTAATACATAGAACAAATATCATTTTTGATTTATGAAAGGAACAAGCTGGATGATACACAGAAGGATTGAGAAGTGATGCACTCTAAAGCAATAATCCCCTTTATCTCCTCTAGTCTTACTTTAAGACAAAGGAGAACTCTTTACCTCAGTTTCTTGATTTGAAAAATGGGTTTCTAGCCACTCTCAGGGATTATGAAGGCAAACCATAAAAATTCTGATGTATCATTCACCAACAGAAAAGTAATGATAAGAGTTTCAAATATTTATGTTCTTAACCTCTGTTTGAATAATGCTTTTAATAGAGCCCATCCAGGTGCTATTCATAAATTCAAGAAATTTATTTAATACAATATTTGAAAGAGAAGTCCACTAAGAAGATATATTTTCACTTTATCTAATATGTTTAACTGATAACAGGCAGGATAATATTCCTATGGTCACACAGGAATAACCGGATAACAAATGAAATTGTTTCTAAATACATACCAAAACGATGTGAGAACAACTAATTGTGAAGTAAGCAATATAATAAACCCAAAAGTCATTCCTTGACTCTGCAAAGGATATCCTTGTTCTGTCATATTTCTTCTTCTGTCACACTTATCCTGGGGTCTACCCTGATCTCTGGAAAGCCAAAATTCTCTCCTGCTTCCTCTCTTAGAAATCTTTGAGTCTCCATCAAAGCAGTGCATTTTCTTTGTAGCCTTCTTGACATTTCCTCCCCTCATGCCATCTCTCTTTCCCCAGGTCACCATTGCATGTACTTTGATGCTAGCACTTCCTGCCCTCTTGTGATACGTGGTCCCCATACTGGGTGATGAGTGCTTTAGGACAGGGCCAATCTTCAATTCTTCATTGTATCCTCAATAAATGTAGGTTGAATTAAATGACTACAAAATGTATTCTTTTTAAACATGATTTAAAACAATATTTGTACCATATTATGTGAGGAACATGCAACAAGATAGCATGCAATGCTTGCAGATGTACTGGGAAAATTTGTCCCAGACTCTTGGTAAGCTGGAATGTTCACAGGTCTTTCAATATCCAAGTTAGTTACCATTTGTAGTAACATGAATGCCTTAAAGTACCACTGAATGATTAATCTCTTTGTAATCTTTCGAAAGCAACCACAGACTTCGTTTATTTATTTATTTATTTATTTAGCTTTTTTTTTAATGTAGGAGTACTGCTATTTATTCAGCCATTGATTAACTGATTGAATTGTGCATGAACTCTACCTTACTTTTTTTTCATTTTTTATAATTTTTATTGAATCACCGTGAGAGCAGTTACAAAGCATTCAGTTCTAAGTCTTGGTCATACAATGAAACACCCACCCCTTCACCAGTACCCATTCTCCACAACCAAGAAAACCCAGTATACCCCCATCCCACACCCTCCCCCTACCTGTGGGGCAGAGGATTTCCACATTACTCTCTCTCTACTTTGATCACATTCAATATTTCGACACCAGACCCACCATTATTATTTGAGATTTTACCCCAACACGCAGATCTGCTGAAAAGGCAACAGTAGACAATTTGTGTTCTATGCTGGTTATGAATAACATATGATGTCGCATGGCTGCAGTAGGGCCATGTGATTTTGAAATTCTGAAATTTTAACACTTAAATCTGGAGGGATTTCTGCCAAAAGTCACTGGGTTTCAAGATTTTCTCCTGAGTCTCTGGGATCATGGCCGTTGAGCAGCTTGATCAGGAGACAGAGAGCCCACCCATTTGTGGGCGATGACTTGGGGTCTCATTGGGACTGGGAGACCAGGACCGGCTCCACCCCCATCCTGTGAGTCCCAACAAGTTTCGTCACTGCGGACCCAGAGATGACAGTCCAATGGCCTCTGGAGGATGACAGACACCGAGCAGCCAAGGAGGAGCAGGCAGAGGAACAACACCCTTTCCCCCCTGGGGTGGCCCGACAATAGTAACCTACTGAGGGGTCTGGATGCATTTCTGCCAAAAGGCGCTGGGTTTTGAGATTTGTTTCTGAGTCTCTGGGATCATGGCTGTTAAGCAGCTTGATCAGGGGCCAGAGAGGCCGTTCGTGGGCGATGACTTGGAGTCTCGTTGGGGTGGGAAGGACAGGACTGGCTCCACCCCCATCCCGTGAGGCCCTGCGTGTCTTGTCACTGTGGGCCCAAACCTGACTTTCCAGTGGCCTCTGGAGGATGGTGGCCACCGGGCCACCAGGGGGAACAGGCCAAGGCACGAAACCTATTCCCACCTGGGTTGGCCCAGCACCGGTAACCTACTGCAGGGACCGGACGCATTTCTGACAAAAGCAGCTGGGTTTCGAGATTTGTTTCTGAGTCTCTGGGATCATGGCTGTTAAGCAGTTCAATCAGGAACCAGAGAGGCCATGCCTCTAATTATAGAGCTGAGCCAGAGATGGTTTGTGGGTTGTTTCCCATGTACTAACTTTAGGTCCTTTACATTCTTGGTAAACTTTGCCCCAAGTTTTTGGGGTCTGGCCAAAGGCACATCAGCAATTTTGCGGTATCTAGAAGTCTGAAGGCGCCATCAGGCTGCTGATGCACTCGCCTCTCAGGTACAGATTGACCTGCTGGCGGCACCATACCCCCTTTTTTTTGCTTTTTGGGCCACATCCGGCAATGCACAGGGGTTACTCCTAGCTCTTCACTCAGGAATTACTCCTGGCATTGCTTGGGGGACCATATGGGATGCTGGGAATCGAACCGGGGTCGGCTGCGTGCAAGGCAAACGCCCTACCTGCTGTGCTATCACTCCATCCCCAACCATGGTCTTCTTTTAATAACTTATTGCTTACTGCTTTTCCTTGAAAGGTAATCAATGATTACTTAAAGATAGTACTCATAATTTAAAATACTAGAAATTCTTTTTTAAAAAATTTTAAAAATTTTTATTAATTTTATTGAATCAACGTGAGATAGTTATAAGCTTTTATGTTTGGGTTACAATCACACAATGATCAAACACCCATCCCTCCACCAGTGCACATTCCCCACCAGCAATATCCCCGATATGATCCCCCTTCCCACCCTCCCTCTGCCTCCATGGCAGATATGATTCCCCATAATCTCTCCCTACTTTTGGGCATTATGGTTTGCAATATAGACCCTGAGAAGTTATCATGTTTGGTCCTTTATCTACTTCCTGCACACATCTCCCATCCCGACCGATTCCTCCAGCCATCTTTTTCTTAGTGATCCCTTCTCTATTCCAGCTGCCTTCTCCCCTTTGCTCATGAGGTAGGCTTCTAGCTATGGAGCAATCTATCTGTCCCATGTATCTACTATCCTTAGGAGTCAGCCTCATGTTATGTTGTTTTATACTCCAAGATGAGTGCAGTCCTATGTCTGTCCCTCTCTTGCTGACTCATTTCACTTAGCATGATACTCTCCATGTCTATCCATTTATAAGTTAAGTTCATGACTTCATCTCTCTTAATAGCTGCATAGTATTCCATTGTGTAGATGTACTAAAGTTTCTTTAACCAGTCATCTGTTCTAGGGCACTTGAGTTGTTTCCAGATTGTGGCTATTGTGAACAGTGCTGCAATGAACATAGAGGTACAAATGTCATTTCTACTCTGCTTTTTTTGCATCCTCAGGATACATTCCCAGAAGTGGTATTGCGGGGTCATATGGAAGCTCAATTTCTAGTTTTTGAAGGACTGTCCATATTGTTTTCCAGAAAGGCTGGACTAGTGGGCATTCCCACCAACATTGAAAGAGTGCTCCTTTACCCCAACATCTGTGCCAGCACTGGTTGCTTTTGTTCTTTTGAATGTGTGCCAGTCTCTGTGGTGTGAGATGATATCTCATTGTTGTTTTGATTTGCATCTCCCTGATGGCTAGCGATGTGGATCATTTTTTCATATGCATTTTGGCCATTTGTATTTCTTTTTTGAGGAAACTTCTGTTCATTTCTTCTCCCCATTTTTTGATGGGGTTGGAGGTTTTTTCCTTGTACAATTCTACTAGTGTCTTGTATATCCTGGATATTAATCCCTTATCAGATGGGTATTGGGTAAATATTCTTTCCCATTCTGTAGGCTCTTTCCATAAAATACTGGAAATTCTTAGGCTGAGGAGATAGCACAGGGGTTTATTCTGGCTGACCCCTGTTCCATCGCTGGTACCATCACATCCCCTGAGCACTGTCAGGAGAAACCCCCAACCAGGAAGTAGTTCCTAAGTGCTTCTGCATGTGGGCCAAAACTAAAAAAGTAAACAAAAAATAAAATAAAATACTGGGGGCCACAGTGATATTACGGTGCATATGGCCAACCCAGGTTTCCTGGCAGTCCAGATGGTTTCCCCAAGCTTTCCAGGAGTGATTTCTGAGCACAGATCCAGGAGTAAGCCCTGAATGCTTCTGGGCATGGCCTAAAAAACATAAAATAAAATCCTATAAATTCTTATTGTCATTAAAATCATTTTATTTAGCTAGTATCTTCTCAATATGTAGCCCATGTAAAGAACTAAGAACTGAATGTTGAGCCAGAAAGATAGTCCAGAGAGTAGGGTGCTTGTTTTGCATGCAACTGTCTCTGATTTGATCCCATCAACCCACATGGTCCCCTAAGCCTCACCAGGTGTGATCCCTGAGTGGCAGAGCCAGGAGTAAGCCCTGAGTACTTCTGAGTGTGGCCCCAAACAAAACACAAGTAAAAAGAATTGAATGAACAAATATATTTTTTCCTTTCTATTCCCAAACCCAAAAAAATAGCACTAAATATTTTCATTGTGCTTTTCGTATCAGTTAATTCTGTCCTCTTAATCACCCTGAAAAGTAGGTCTTCGTTTTCTTCATTTAACCGACAAGGAAGGTCTCAGAGCTGTCACTATTCTTATTCAGCTCCACTAAGCAACAGCATCTATACAGCAATGAACATGGATGTGGCATTGCTAAGCTTCTTTAAAGCTTCTGTAGGGTTTGCAAATGGCAGATACCCAACACAAGAATCATACCAGGGATGATATGAGATGCCCCCAGAGCAAATTAGCATTCCGTACTAACTGAAAACTGTTTGCAACGTTGTCTTCCCAACCTCTTCCCTTTTCTCTTTTGAAGTTGGTGCAATGACCCAGAAGCTGCACACATACTTGGGTGTGGTGTGGTGTGGTATGGTGGGGGTCATGTTCTTTGCCCCTGTGTGTGTGTATTTCTTTTTCAGTTGCAGTGCTTAAATGGGGCACATTTACTATTATTATTATTATTATTACTATTATTTTATCTTTTGGTTTTGAAACTGTGCTCAGGGCTGACTCCTGGCTCTGTGCTCAGGGATCACTCCTGGAAGAGCTGGCTTGGGAAGCATATATGTGGAACCAGAGATCTAACCTGAGTCAGCCACACGCGAGGTAAGCACTTTACCTGTAGTACAACCTCCAGTCCCAGGGATGTTCAAAGTTTACTTGCTGTACTTACATACACCAGGCTGCTGTGTGGTCAGAAACTGCTATTGCGCCAAGGAGCTCAGACAGCCAAACCACTGGCCACAGACACAGAGCCGTCAGCATCGTGCACAGTGTGTGCCTCAACACCAGGGCCCAACCCACATACTCACTTTCCTAAGTCAGATGCATTAGCCTCTGAGCCAGCGCCTGGGCCCTAGCAATGCCTTTTCTGAACTTCGATAAAATGATCTATATTGTCCTCATCTGCTCAGCAATCCACAATTTTCATTTTTCAGCTCAGCTGAGATCACAGATGGTATTAATACAGAAGGATTAGCAGATGGTTTCTGGTTGAACAAAAATTATTTGAGATGTAGGAAGAGAGCTGGGTAAATGTGGCATAGGGTAAAAATATAGCATAAATAGCTTAGCCAGGGGGCGGAGTGATAGCACAACAGGTAGGGCGTTTGCCTTGTAT